TATGAAATGCCAGTCGGGGTCTGCTCTTGAGGTCACTTTATCTTAATCACCTCTTCAGAGACCCTGGTGCCAAATGCAGTCACGTAGCTTAAACAGCCCCTGTATTCCCTCATGTGGTCTTAATTACCTTTTCAAAAGTCCCATCTCCACATACGGTGACATTCTAGGCATACGCACATCAACCTATGAATGTGGGGGGACATGATCGTGTGGGTACAATCCCTAATTGTGCCCACACTTCACAGGGCCTTTTTCCTTCGAGCACATTGGAAAGCCAATCACACAGAAGAAACACTGGGTGCCTACTCTGTAGTGACCTTCGACCAGGTGACAGTCTACTCCCCTACTCTTTTTTCCTGAAACCTGAGTTGATTCTGGTAACACATGAAGCAGAGGCAGGCCTAACACAATTCTCTTTACCTTAGAGCTGGTCCGTGGCATGTCATTGACGGATGACAAGCTGATAACGTAGGGCTGCCACCTGCAACTCCACCTACAATACCGAGCCAGCAAGCAGCTGGGAGAGTGGAGCTCACCTGTTCACCATGTGGGAGTCCCCCACCTTCTGGCAGAAAAGACATCACCATCACCCGAAGGAGGCACACCACTGGCAGCCACCACACCTGGCCATCTGTAAGGGACAGAACAGCTTCTGCCTCAAGGAGGGCCAGGGTCTCTTCAGGATGACACTCAAGCTTTTGGGCTGCACGATGCCACTGGCTTGCCCTCTCTGGGATGCAGCAGGGATGCCTCCCCGAGCCAAGCAAAGCTCCTAGCAAAGCACTGGATGCAAGGAACAAGAGACACTCAGTCCCCTCACCTCCAGGGCAGCCACGAGGGGTCATGAAGAGGTGGGTCTGCACGGAGCAGGAACAGCGCACTACAGGAGACAAGGCTGGGAAGGTGCGTACAGGAGGTGGGAACTGAGGCCCACCTGAGGGATTTAGAGATGATGGGGAGGACAGGCCCAACACGCAAGATGAAATGCAAGTAGCCTGCCTTGTCATCTATCTTAGTGCCTGAAAAAAAACAAGGGTCGAAAGTTTACCTGGTAGCAACTGCGCCACATACTCCATGCAAACAGGTTTCCATCTCTTATTCTTCTAGAAGGTCTCCCGAGCCACACAGGCCCATGAGCAGGAAACCCAGGTCTTTCTGGAGGCAGCTCTCCCCAGATCTTATCCAAGAACCCAGGGCGTCTTGGGAGGACGCAAAGCTCAGAAGTCTGCAGGCCTGCCATCCCGGCTTTCTCTCTGTTCCCTTCCCGGCCCCCTGCACACCCCTCCCGTCATCTCTCTTTTTAAACGACTACTTTTCCCCCTCTAAGTCTAATTCAGTTTCCCCTTTCCATATTCTTCCTCCCATGGGCCTCATAGTTCCTTTAAAAAGATGTGTTTTTAATTGGTATTTGAAATTTCTAAACATGAATCTATAACCCAAACGCTGAAAAAACTTCCAAGCCGCATGAGTGTTGCAGCAATAATGCAAAATGACCCAAGAAGGCGCTAATAGGTGCTGATTGTTCAAGCAGAAAAACTCATTTAAATGATTTAAAAGAAGTTATTATAACATGCTATTTTCCCAGTGACCTCCAAATATTGATCTTCTCCGTATGGTACCTATACTATAATAGAAACCCCAGACACAATATTAACTAGAGTCAAGAATCTAACTAAAACGGGCTCCTGCTGGAACTCAGGCTTCTTTGAAACTGAATTTAGTTCTATCCTTTGTACTGTTGAAAATGAAAAAAGATATTTGTGTGTGTGTTATGGGCAAACAAGATACAGAGAAGAAGTGTGGAGAACAGAACGCATGTTCATGGACAGAAAGGCTACAGATGGGAGCAAACCCTCGCCCCCTTGCAGGATAATACGTTTAAAGAAAGGAAGGCCCAAAGGAAGCCATTTCTTCATGGAGATCATTTTTCACCACTGCAGTGTTTTTGCAGGCCAATCCCAGCCTCCTCCCCAAGACTCTGCTTTCTCCTCTGAGCTGGTCCTTATTTTTTTTTCCCCCCAGCATACGATTTATTCACAAACAACAAACAAGAAAATTCCGTTAAAACTTTGAAATAAGTGAAAACAAAGTAGAACAGTTTCTTGGAACAGCTTTCGTACAGTTGTAAACTGTACCTTAAAAAAAAAAATTAAGACTAGGCGCAATGGCTCACGCCTGTAATCCCAGGACTCTGGGGGGCCAAGGAACATGAATCACTTGAGCACAAGAGTTTGACCAGCCTGAGCAACATAGAGACCTACTCTCTATAGAAAATAAAATAAACAACTAGCCAGGCATAGTGGCGTGTGCCTGTAGTCCCAACTACTTTGGAGGCTGAAGCAGAGATATCACCTGAGCCCAAGAGGCCTAAACCACGGTGCGCCGTGATGGTGCCACTGCACTCCAGCCTGGGTGACAGAGTGAAACTCTGACTCAGAAAAATAAAAAATAAGAGAACTGCCAATTATTCATTCATTGGCTCCAAATTTGCATTTATTTTGTCTCTAGCTGGGGGTATGAACCAGCTTCCTCTGGAGAACATCAAAATGATGAATTTCCTTGAAAAAGTAATGTATTGAGATGAAACACACATAACAGAAAAGGAACCATTTTAAAATGAACTTAAGACATGGGCTTTAGTCCCTCGCAGGGCTGGGATTCCTCTGAGTCTTCAAGCCTCTCCCTCCCACCTGCCACTTTTGGAAGAATGCTAGAAAGTCAAAAGACCCAAGGCTGTATGTGGGCCTGTCCCCTTCCGCCATCAGCCTCACGCTTCTGTCCCACCCCGCTTCTGCCCTGGCTCTGCGCTACACACCCCTTCTCCCTCTGGCCTCCGGTTCCCACCTTGTCTCTCGGCCTCCATCCTTCTCTCTCTCTGTCCTCCCCCTCCCTCCATCCATCCCACTCCCTCCATCTTCCCACTCCCTCATTACCTGGCAATCACCTGCTCACACCTCCACTCCCCGCCCCCATACCTGTGTGCCCTCGGAGTCCCTCCTGATTTTCGAACCACTCAACATTTTTTTTTGAGTTGGAGTCTCACTCAACATTTTTTTTTTGAGTTGGAGTCTCACTCTGTCGCCCAGAATGGAGTGCAGTGGCCGCTTCCGGTCTGGGGTGCACAGCCTCGACCTGCTGTGCTCCGGCGATCCTTCAGTCCTCCCAGTAGCTGGAACTACAGGCGCGCGCTACCACGCCCGGCTAATTTTTTGATTTATTGTAGAGATGAGGTCTCGCCAAGCTGCCCAGGCGGGTCTCGAACTCAACTTTTTTTAAAAATTGATTTCCATTTCCCATGCTCCACTGCCACGTCTTGGGTGCCTCCAGTTCCCCATCACCTCTCCCTCCATGTCTCCCCTCACTCTGTGTCCCCTGAAGCCAAGTCTATCTCCTGCTCAGGTCTCCAAAGCCTCCTACTGGGTTCCCACTCCCCCTTCACTACTGCCCTGTCTCTGCTCCCCTCCCATCTCCCGGAACCCCTGCAGAGCCTCTCTGCCCCTCACTCTCCCACCTGGCGGATTCCTCCCTCTCCCATCCCTTCCAAAGCCCTCCCTCACTTCCCCTCCTTACCCCTCCCCACAAGATCACTCAACGTCCCCTCCAGGGCCCTCCTCCCCAAGCCCTTGCCTCACCCCTCCCCCAAGATCACTCAGCGCCCCCTCCAGGGCTCTCCTCCTCCTCCCTTCCTTGCTTCCCCCCAAGATCCCTCAACACCCCCAACAGGGCCCTCCTCCCCAGGTCCTTGCCTCACCCCTCCCCCAAGATCACTCAGCGCCCCCTTCAGGGCCCTCCTCCCCCTCCCTTCTTCGCCTCCCCCCTCCCCCCAAGATCACTCAGGATCCCCTCCAGCGTTCTCCTCCCCCTCTCCCCCCATCCTTATGCCCCCAGGTCTCTCAGCACCAACTTCAGGGGCTCTTCCGCCTGCCCCTCGCCTCTCCTCCTTATCCGCCCCCTCTAGAATCTCCCGGCGACCCCGTTCGGGGCCCTCCTCCCTCCACTCCCCCCACCGTCCGGCTCCCCTCTCAACCCCCACCGCCCCGGCCCCGCCCCCTCCTTTCCCGCCCGCGCCTGCGCACCGCCACCCTCCACCCTCGCCGAGCGGCGCGGGCTGTGTGAGCTGCAGCACGCGGCACTCGAGGCGGAGCCCGCGCTGGACGGGGCGGGCTGGCCGGACGGCCACGCCTTCCGCGGTGAGGGCCCGCCCCCAGGCACCCTCGGGGGCTCCTCCCGAGTAGGGGCTGTGCCGCGTCGGGCTTGGCGGGAAAGGCCTGGGGGTGGGTGGCGGGCGTGGAGAGGCTGAAGGGGTTGGTCCGGGAGGATCCGAGAGGGGGGCGCTTCCCGGAGGACTCCGAGAGGGTGTGCGAGTCCGGCCGCGGCCTGCTTGGCCCAGGCTGAGTGGGCAACAGGCTGCTAGGCCCAAAGGCCGCCCGGCTCAAACGGTGCTGGGTCTAGAGCGTGCAGTGGTGGAAAGGCTCCTCAGACCTTGCTGCGCCAGAATGTGCATGGGTCCCGGCCCTGCGAGGCCGGAACGTGCACAGACCCAGAGTCTGCTCAGGCCCCGGTCTTGCTGGGTCCAGAATGTGCACAGACCCAGCCACAGCCTGCTCACACCCAAGCCTTGCTAGCCCAGAATGTGCACTGACCCAAAGCCTGCTCCGGCCCAGACCCTGTGAGCCCAGAAAGTGCACAGGCCCGGAGCTGTTCAGGCCCAGACTTTGCTAACCCAGAATGGGCACTAGCCCAGATCCTGCTGAAGCCCCAACCTGTTAGTTCTAGAATCTCAGAACTAAATTCTCAAAATTCTGCTTTAGCTTAAGTCCTGCTTAGGCCTAACCCCTCCTAGGCCCAGGCCTGATCAACATTTCCTGACCCTCCTAGGCCCAAGCCTTTTGAAGCCAGACCTTGATAGACCCCTTGACCAACCCCAAAGTCTGCTAGGCCCCAGCCCCACTGTGTCCTGGGAAGACTCCTTGTATCTTTCTCATACAGGCCAAGTCATTATGTCAGCCACTGAGATCTCTGGCCCTTCTGATCAATTCACCAAAATCAAAGAACTAGAGTTGATGCCAGAAAAAGACCTGAAGGAGAAGGAGGTGGATGGAGTGTGCAGAGAGAAGGATCATCAGAACCCTGGAGGGTGGGAGGCTGAGTGTCCCCCCGGGACCCTCCAGCCTAGGATCCTGAAAGAAGAACTGGAGCTGGTGCCAGTGACCTCAGAAGAAGGCGAGAAGCACATCCTGACCCTGCAGACGGTGCCCTTCGCCTCTGAGGCCGTGGAGTTGCAGGAGGTCGGCTGGCTGAGCGCACAGCCTCAGGAGGGGATGCAGGTGATGGTGCAGCAGGCGGGTCCTGGGCTGCCATCTCTGCTGTGGCTTGGCGAGGGGCCCCAGCAGAGCGTGCAGCAGTGCGTGACCATCGGCATCCAGGAAGAACTGCACTTCCTGCAGGAGATGGAGGTGATGCAGTTTCAGGTCGTGGAGGAGAACGGAGTGGCAGCCACTGGGGACAGCAAGTTGATGAGCCTGGCTGAAAGCACTGAGCTGACTAAGGTACGGCCAGCTTTGATAAACTCACCCCTTCCTCAGAAAAAAACAACCAAAACACTTCTATTTTTTTCAAGTTGGCCATTGTGCAGTATTAAGCATGGACAAGCTATTTTGCAATTTAAAATTAAATGCGGTAAAAATACTTCCCAGGAAAATCCTGAGAGACTTTATGTTCCTTTTTTTTTTAAAAGAGTTTGAGAACTTGTGCTAATTCAAACACTATAAGGTATATTGTGTTTTAAAGTACCAAGCGTAGGCCTGGCGCAGTGGCTTATGTGTGTAATTCCAGAACTTTAGGATTCTGGGGCAGGAAGATTGTTTGAAGCCAGGAGTTTGAAACCAGCCTGGGCAACAATGAAAGACCTTATCTCTAAAAAAATGAATAAAGTAAAACAAAAAGTGTTCATTTTCACAAACCTGATACTATATAATTCCAGTTTAAGCATTTTAGTTGCAATGCATAATTTTTAATTTTTGCTTTTATGTATTCTATAGTTCATCAAGGTAAAAGTTTAATCAGACTGTAATTAATAGTGCCATATTTGTGGGGATGTTTGTTTTTGTTCATTAGCTTGAAGAAGGTCAGGGAAAGGACCGGCCACCGATGGCTGCAGGAACACGGGACCTTTGCTTCCTCGTGGAAGCGAGTCCAGGCGAGGAAGGAAGAGACGAAATCATTCTGACAATTTCAAGTTTAAATATGGAAGAACAAGAAGATAAACCTGCGCCTGGCCCAGCCAACATTGAAGAAGCCAGTGCTACAGATCACACAACAAAGGGTAAGCCAGTCCAGCTCATGCAGGAGGCTGGGCTGCTGTTCCTTCACGGGAAGGCCAGGGAATGGAAGTTTTAGTGGCTGACTTTTAGTAGCTATCAAAATGTCAAGAAATGGGAGAAATTTTAAACTAACGTTCTGAATTGTGAGTCAAACCTAAAAAGGTTTTGCGTTTTGCACGCAAACATTTTAAAAACACTGTAAAAATGTTCTCACAACACACTGTGCATGTGAACAGAAGGCTGAGTCCTGGTCTCTGCTGCCTGCTTTGCAGACTCAGGAGGGTGTGTGGGGGTGATGGTAATGACAGGACAGGTGCTGAGCTCTGATGGGGATAAGAGCAGATGCCTCAGAGCCAGGAGGAGGAGTGAGAGCCTTCCCGCAGGAGGCAGCAGAGGCTGCTTTTGAAGGGATTTGGTACTTAGGGGAGGCCAGGAAGGAGGACAGGAAAACCCACGGAGAGTGGGGGTCACAATTCCACACAGCAGAAAGGGATCTGTGCTTGCACTTCCGGGAGGATGTGCTTCGTCTGTTGTGAGTGGACAGTTCTGCTGTGTTGGGAGCCAGGTGGTAGGTGCTCAGGGAGGCAAATGGGGCCAGATTAGGAAGACCTTGAAGCTCTATTAAAACCATATGAAGGGAAACACCAAAAACACAGAAATTATTTATGTAAAAATTGCGTATTTATTCTTACATGTTTAAACTTCAGTGTCACCTTCAAAGTATTCTCTGTTTGATGCAATATACCTTTTCCACTGCTCAGAACGGTTTTTGACCTCAATTTTAATACCTTTTGAACTCAAGTTTTTGAACTCAATTTTAATGCAGTGGGTTTTTTTGTTTCACCTCTTCTACATCAGCAAAACGTTTTCCTTTGAGGAATTTTTTCATCTGGGGAAACAAAAAAAAGTTGTTAGGATTGAGATCTGGTGAATAGGGAAGGTGGGACATGGGGGTCATGCCACTTTTGGCCCCAAACTGCTGAATACTCAGTGCTATGTGGTCAGTTATGTTCATAAATCACCCATCATGAAATGGGCGAACATGTTGAAAGAATCTACACACACACACACACACACACACACACACACACACACACACACACACACACACACAAATTCACTGAAGTCAAACACAATAATCTAGTTAGTACACTGATGCCCATGAGTTCCTAGAACACTTACCTAGCTGGGGAAGCAAGCACTACAAGGGGCCTGCCCTCCAAAAATAAATTCTGGGTTTTTTTAATCCCCCTTGTATTAAAGCTGAGATTACATCCCAACAGCCCACAGGATAAATCTGTCTTTCAAAAAATGATTTGTTTGGCTGCTTTTTAAATTGTGTAAGTTTCTTGTTTATTTGAATCAAGAGATTTCATCTCCAAAACCTCAATTTCTAGCTGATTTTTAAAAGTCAGAAAGGACATGGTGGCTCATGCCTGTAATTCCAGCACTTTGGGAGGCCAAGGGGAGATGATTGCTTGAATCCAGGAGTTCTGAGACAACACAATGAGATGGCATCTCTACAAAAATAAAAACATGAGCCAGGCATGGTGGTACATGCCTGTGGTCCCAGCTACTTGGGAGAGTGAGGCGGAAGAACACCTGAGCCCAGGTGGTCAAGGCTGTAGTAGCTGTGATCGTGCCACTGCCCTTCAACCTGGATGACAGAGTGAGGCCTTAACTGAAAAAAGAAAGTCATATCTGGCAGCACTTGGTACTATTTTCTTCTTCCTGGCAACAGGTGACCGGGGTTGGAAGGTGATGTTTTAGGAAGAAAGAGTGATGTCCGGTCACTCTGCCGCCACCCCCACCTGTTCTCACTTGGGGTCATTTGGGCTTCCTGCCCCTGGCTTCCAGAGTGGGTGAAGTGTGCAGCCCTTTGTGGGTAGTAGTTTCTCCTGTATTTAAATCAAGAGGTTGCACCCCAGATGCTCCCATTTCGAGCTAATTTGCAGGCTGTTGATATATTCACAGATATGAACAACCATCACCACTATCAACTCCCAGAATATTTTTATCCCCCCAAAATAAACCTGTACCCATTAGGCAGCCACTCCCCACCCTCCCACAGGCCCTGGCAACCACCAATCTACTTTTTGTGTCTGGATTTTCCTGTTCTGGACATTTTATATAAATGAAATCATACACAGATGCCATGTGGACTTTTTGTCTAGATCCTTTCACTTAGGGTAAAGTTTTCAAGGTTCATCACTATTGTAACAGTACTTCTTTTGTGTGTGTGTGTGTGTGTGTGTGTGTGTGTGTGTGTGTGTGTGTGTGTTGGGGACTCACTCTGTCACCCAAGTTGGAGTACAGTGAGTGACACAATCACAGCTCACTGTAGCCTCCACCTCCTGGGCTCAGGCGATCCGACTGCCTCAGCCTCCCAAGTAGGCTGAGGTGCATGCCACCACACCTTGCTAATTTGGGGTGGGGGTATTGTAAAGACAGGGTCTCACTATATTGCCCAAGCTAGTCTTGAACTCCTGGGCTCAAGCAATCCTCCTGCTTCAACCTCCCAAAGTGTAGGGATTACAGGCATGAGCCATCACGTTTGGCCTACCTCATTCCTTTTTAATGGCTCAATAATACTCATTGTATAGGTGCACCACGTTTTATTTATCTGTCCATCCTTTGATGTATATTTTGTGGTTCCCCCTTTTAGCTAGTGTGAGTGGTACTGTTATGACCATTTGCATACAAGTGTTTGTTTGAACACCTGTTTTCAGTTATTTTGGGTACATAGTTAGGAGAAGAATTGCCAGTTCATAGGGTTACTCTGTTTTGTTTTCCATGGGAGCTGCATTACCTGTAGCACATGAGGGTTCCAGTCTCTCCACACCCTCACCAACACTTATTTTTCATTCTATTACTGTTTTTATATCATAGCCACCCTAGCAGTGGTGAAAAGGTATCTCGTTGTGGTTTCGATCTGCATTTCTCTAATGACTGATGGTGTTGAGTATTTTTTTTTTCTGTGCTTGTTGACCACTTGTGTATCTTCTTTGGAATAATGCCTATTCAAATCCTTTGCCCATTTTTAAATTGGCACCTGAGTTAGTTTTCTAGGACTGCCATGACAAATCACCACAAACCGGATGACTTAAAATGACAGAAATCTCTCTCACAGTTCTGGACGTTACAAGTCTGAAATTGTGTCGGCAGAGCTCATGGAAGACCTTGGGGAGAATGTACCCCATGCCTCACTCTTAGATTCTGGTATGGCCAGCATTCATGGCATGCCTGGGCTTATAGCTGTATCACTGCAGTCTGTGCCTCTGTTACCACTTGGAGTTCTCCCTGGGTCTCTTTTCCTCTTCTTCCACCAGCCATATTGGAACACAACCCACTTTCAACCAGTTTGTCTCATTTTAACTTGATTTCATCCGCAAAGACCCTTTTTGCAAACAAGATCACATCCACAGGAATCTGACATTAGGACTTCAACATATTTTTGTGGGCTTCACAATTCAACCCATAACCCTTCTATTCCAAGCTTTTGAGTATTAGCAAGAATGGGTGTTGGAGTTTGTACAATGCTTTTACAAGTTTTTTGCATCTGTATTCATAAGGAATATTGGTCTGTAGTTTTCTTTTAATGTCTTTGCTGGCTTAATATCCAAGGCATACTGACCTCAAACAATGAATTAGAAAGTGTTTCCTCCTCTTTTTTTTTAAGGGTTGGAAAAGGACTGGCATTAATATTTAAGCATTTGGTAGAATTAATCAGGAGAATTGAGCTGATCCTGGGGTTTTCATTTGGGGAAGTTTGTTAATTAATGACTCACTCTCTTTATAGATCTGTTAAATTTTTCTGTTTCTTCTTGTCAGTTTTGGTAGTTAGTGTATTTCTAGAAATTTTCCATTTTATCTAAATTATTTAGTTTGTTCTCATATGATTGTTTATAGTATTCTCTTACAATCCTTTTTATTCCCATAAAGTTGGGAGGAATGTCCCCACTTTCCTTCCTGATTTTAGTCATTTGTGTGTTCTTTATTCTCCCCTTGGTCACAAGTCTAGATAAAGTTTTGTCAATGTTAATCTTTTCAAAGAGCCAGCTTCAACTTTGTTCATGTTTCTCTATTGTTTTTCCATTTAATTTACCTTTACTCTACTCTTTGCTATTTTCTTTCTTTTTCTGACTTTGGGTCTAAATGTATCTTCTTTTTCTTGTTCATCAAGGCATAAAGTTTGGTTATTAATATGAAATATTTATTCTTTTATAAATGTAAATATTTGCAGCTAAAAAAACTTCCCTCAGGGCACTGATTTAGGTGTATACCACAAGTTTAGGTATCTTGTGTTTTACTTCCATGCATCTCAGAGTCCTTTATGATTTTCTTGTGCTTTCTTCTTTGACCCACTGGTCATTTAGGAATGTGTTGTTAAACTTTCACATATTTGTGAATTTTCTAAATTTCCTTTGTCATTAATTTCTAATTTAATTCCATTATGGTCAGAAAAAATACTTTGTATGATTTCTGTCTTTTTAAATTTGTTGAGACATGTTTGTCTCAATATGTTTGTAGCCTAACATACGGCCTATCCTGGAGAATTTTTCATAGGCACCCAAGAATAATGTTACATTCTACTGCTGTTGGGTAGAGTGTTTTATAGATGTCTATTCTGTCTGCTTAGTTTATAGTATTGTTTAAGTCTTTTGTTCTCTTACTGATCTTCTCTCTAATTGTTAAAGTGAGACATTGATGTCTCCAACTATTTTTTTTTTAATTCAGGGTTTCTCACTCTTTCACCCAGGCTGAAGTGCAGTGGCATGATCACAACTATCATGGCTCATGGCAGCCTTGACCTCCTGAGCCCGGGCAATCCCTCCACCTCAGCAGCCAAGTAACTGGGACTACTGTTGTGTACCATCACACTGGCTAATTTTTTATTTTTTGTAGAGTTGAGGTTTCGCTATATTGCCCAAGCTGGTCTTGAACTCCTGGGTTCAAGCAATCTGCCCATCTTGGCCTCCCAAAGTGCTGGGTTTATAGACACAAGCCATCCCACCCACCCTCTAACTGTTATTGACTTGTTTCTACATTCATTTTTATCAGTTTTTGCTTCAGATATTTTGTAGGTTTGTTATTAAGTACATATATGTTTATAATTGCTATATCTTTATGATAAAGTGACCCTTTTATCATTATATAATATATTTTTTGTCTCTTATATCAACTTTTATATTAAGGTCTATATTGCCTGATATCAGTATAGCCATCTCAGTTACCTTTTGGTCACTGTTTGCATAGAATATCTTTCTCCATCCTTTTACTTTCAGTCTATTTGTAACTTTTAATCTAAAATGAGCCTCTTGTAGAAGGCCAATAGATGCATCATGCTTATTATCCTTTCTTCCAATCTCTGCCTTTTTATTGGAGAGCTTAATTGCCTTACTGATGAAAATGAACTTTTCCAGTTTTCTGTTTGTTTTTGAAATATGATATGTCTTTTATTTTTCCATTCTTTTATTATTGCTTTCTTTTGTATTGAATAGCTCTGGTCTAGTTTATTGTTTATTTTATTATATATTTTTGAGTTATTTTCTTTGATTGCTCTTGGTATTATATTTATCCTCCCAATTTATAGCAGTCTAGTGCAGATTAATGCCAACTTAATTTCAATTGTATATTAAAATACTTTGCTCCTGTATATTTTATTCCCCACTCTTTGTTGTTATTGTCACAGAGTATATCTTTGTACATTGTGTGCTTGTAAACATAGAAGTATAATTGTTGTTTAATGCCACTGTCTTTTAGTCAGATAGGAAACCAGAGGAGTCACAGGCCAAGTGTGCATATTGTCTTTTGTGCTGACCATGCTGGCACTTTTGTCAGTGCCCTTTACCTCTTCATGTGGGTTTGAGTCTAATGTCCCTTCATGTGGGCCTGTAGGAGTCACCTTGGCATTTTTTAGTACGTCTGCCAATGACAGACTCACTCAGTTTTAATTTAATTTTGCTAATTTCTCCTTTGTTGGACATAGAATTCTTGTTTAACAGGCTTTTTTTTTTCCTTACAACACTTTGAATACCATTCCATTGCCTTCTGACCTCCATGGTTTCAGATGCTAAATCAGCTGTTAGTCTCACTGCTGCTTGACAAGTCACTTCTGTCCAACTGCTTTCAAGATTCTTTGTCTTCCAACAGTGTGATCATGGCGTGTCTTGATGTGGCTTTCTTTGGGTTTATTTTAATTTAAGTTTTTTGGCTGTATAGATTATTTTTCATGAAATTTGGGGAGTCTGGCAATTATTTTTAAAATGTTCTTTCTACTCCCTGCCCCACTTCTGGTCCTCCTGTTATGCATATGTTAGTGGCCTGATCATGTCCCACCAGCTTCTTAGGCTCATTTTTCTTCAATATTTGTATTTCTGTTCCTCAAGCTGAATAATCTCAGTTGACCTATTTTCAAGTTTGTTCATTCTTCCTTCTTTTCACTTGTATCTGTTGTTGAGCCCCTGCAGTGAATTTTTATTTCACGTATTGTGCTTTTCAGTTCCAGAATTTCTCATTTTTTAAATATAAATTCTGTATGATGTTCTCAATTTGGTGAGGCATCCTCTTCATACTTTCTTTTAGTCCTTCAGACTCAGTTTTTTGGGGGGTCTTTGAACATATTTAAAACAGTCAGTTTAAAATCTTTGTCTAGTATGTCCAAGTGTGGATTTCTTCAGGGACAATTTCTGTTTTTTCTCTGTATGGGCTACTATATTTTGTTTCTTTGCATGTCTTGTATTTTTTTTTTTTTTTTTTGCCAAAAAACTGGACATTTTGAACATTCCAATACATTTTGAACATTCCAGTGTGGCAACACTGTAAGACATATTTTCCCCCTCCCCGGGGTTGACATCTCTGCTGATGATTGGACAAAGATTTCCTTAAACACCTGAAAAAAAAAAAATGTCTCACAGTCTTTGCTGAAGGCCTTCCCAGCATTCATCCAGGAAGTTTATAACTTTGTCTTAACCCTCACTTCCTGCTTCCTCTAAGCCTTAAGGTGAAACAGGGGTGAGAGCTTGGAGTCTTTCCAGGCTATTCCTAAGCCATGGGACATGTTTGTGACCTTCTGTATCCCTAGGAATATGTTGGTGCTTGTCAAAAGTCCTTATTTCCCAAAGCATCTCATTCCTCAGCCTTTCCTTCCAAGGTTTTTGTTTAGTCTGTTATTTGCCCTAACTAGTTTTCTTTTGTCTGTTTTTGTTTGTTTGTGTCGGAGTCTCACTCCGCTGCCCAGGTTGAAGTGCAGTGGCATGCTTATGGCCACCGCAGCCTCAACCTGCTGGGCTCAGACAATGTTTCCACCTCAGCCTTCCAAGTGGAATTACAGGTGCCCGCTGGAATTACAGGTGGAATTACAGGTGCCCGCCACCATGCCTGGCTAATTTTTTTATATTTTATAGAGACAAGATCTTGCCAAGTTGCCCAGGCTGTTCTCAAACCCCTAGGCTCAGGCAGTCCTCTCACCTCCACCTTCCAAAGTGCTGGGATTACAGGTGTGAGTCAACGCACCCAGTCTGCCCTGTGATCTGTTGCCTGTAAATGTTTTCAGTGACTGTTCCTCCACCCGCCTTATCCCAAGTAACCTATTTAGCTCTGAGCAAGTTCCAAGTTAGGTGAGATAATGGCAAACCTTTGGAAGGGGTCTTCCAGGAGCCACTAGGCAGGTCAGGTCAAAGAATTACAGTGTTTGTGAGTGAGACCCATTCTGCTTTCTGGCACTGGTTTTGTACATTCCAATTGTTATTGTCCTGATTAGCCCTGAGTTAGGGAGCAGGTAATAGAACCAAAATAAGTTAGAACTCCACCAAGCTCTCTCTTTTTACCAAGAATCAGCTATGTTTTAAGATTAAGTGTTCCCCTGGTAACAGGAAGCTTTTGATTAGTTTCCAGTGTCCTGAAAAAGTTGTTTCTGACCTGTTTTTGCCCATTTTGTCATTGTTTTTATGGAGGGATGGGTGCATTTTTGGAATTCCTTACGCCAGCATTCTCACTCATCACACAGCTATATTCTATATTTGATAATTCCAACATCTGACGTCCTTGTAGGTCTGAGTCTTCTGTTTGTTTTTCTGCTGGTCCTTGTTTTGGCATCTTATTTATTCACCATGAGCTGTTTTTTTGCTGTCATCTCTGCAAATTCTTTGAAGCCTGGGGTGAAAGTGGGCTCTTTGAGAGATGGTATGTATTGATTTTTGCTAGGTTGTAATGATCAAAAACGTCTTAAACCACATACTCCCAGGGACAAGGAGAGAACCACTCCAAGAAATTTTCGCTGGGGCTGCATCCCTTCTTGTGAGCAATCTTCTGGTGGAGAATCCCTTCACTTTTCTGTTGGTGCTAGATCACCACTGTCCAAGAGGACGTCCTGGGATGATGGAGATGGTCTGTATCTTCACTGTTCAGTACAGTGGACTCTATTCCCATGTGGCCACAGTTGAAATGTGGCTTACAACAGAGGAACTAAAATTTTAATTTAATTTTTTTTGTAGAGATGGGGATCTCACTACATTGCCGAGGCTGATCTTAGACTCCTGGGCTCAAGCTACTCTTCCACCTCAGCTTCCCAAAGTGTTGAGATTACAGGCATCCCAGCCCCAATTTTATTTAATTTTAATTACCTTAAATCCAGTTGGAGTAGTCGCATATAGCTAGTGATTGTGGTTCTAGGAAGCACCATCTTGGATGGTTTCTCTCAGTCTCTTGGCTGGGGTGGAGGATGCAGGGATGGGTGGTTATCTTTAGTTCACCCTAGAGAGATCATTTGCCTTCAGGGCCTATCTTTATGGGAGAATCTCTTCTTGGGCTGCCACATTAGGCAGGTGCTAAGCTTTACCTTGTGCCCTCTTTGATATGTGAGGCATTCAAAAACATTGAGAGGCCAGATGCAGTAACTCATGCCTGTAATCCCAGCACTTTGGGAGGCTGAGGCAGGAGGATCGCTTGAGTCTGGAAGTTTGAGACCAGCCTGGGCAACATAGAGAGACCCTATCTCTACAAAAATTTTTTTTAATTAACTGGGCGCAGTGATGTGCCTCTGTAGTTTCAGTTAGTCAGGAGGCTGAGGCGAGAGGATCACTTGAGCCCAGGAGTTCAAGGCTGCAGTGAGCTATAATTGTACCACTGCATACCAGCCTGGATGACAGAGTGAGACCCCATCTCATAGATAGATAGATAGATAGATAGATAGATAGATAGATAGATAGATAGAAAGATAGATAGACTGAACATTGAGCCCTTTTCCCCTGAGCATTTTCTGTATCTAGTCTACCATGTGCCCAGGCACAAATGTCGACTGATCTTGGAACAGTTAAAAATAGTGTAGCTGTCTGGACGTGGTGGCTCATGCCAATAATCTCAGCACTCTGGGAGGTTGAGGTGAGAGGACTGCTTGAGCCCACAGGTTTGAGACTAGCCTGGGCAACTTGGCAAGACCTCATCTCCATGATAAATAAATTAAAAAAAAAAAATGAGCTGGGCAGGTGGTACATGCTTGTAGTTCCAGCTACTTGGAAGACTGAGGCGGAAGAATCACCTAAGTCCTGCAGGTCAAGGCTATGGTGGCCGTGAGCATGCCACTGCACTCCAACCTGGGTGACAGAGTGAGACTTTGACCCCCCCCGAAAAAAGCATTGCTTGTCACCTTGTCACCCAGAAACCTTGTGTCCTGAATTGTCAAGAGAAACTTGTGAATATCAATGGCAAGACCTATTGTGAGAAGGGGGTCTGCCACATACCACTGATGTGTTTAAATGGAATTTGAATTTCCAAGGAGAGATTTTTACAGATATACAAACTCTGTGTCTTCTGCCTGCAGGAGCAAAGCGGATCTTCTCCTGTGATGTCTGCAGATTCACCTCCTCAAGGATTTCAAGTTTTAATCGCCACAAAAAAATTCACACCAGCGAGAAGCCTCACTTGTGCCACCTCTGCCTGAAAGCCTTCCGCACGGTCACTCTTCTGCGGAACCATGTCAACACCCACACAGGTAGCATCCAAGAAGCAGCCTCCCTCGAGTGACGTGTGTTCAGGCTTATGTAAGAATGCAAGCCTACCTGTGTCTATGTGAAAATCATGCCGTGTTGTACTTTCATTGTGTCTCTTTGTCTCTACAATTTCCATTAAAAATGCTGACTGTTATGAAGACTTTTTTCTCATATCCAAGTGCAGTATTTATAGTTTAAAGAGCTTCTTCTCGATCTCTAAGGCACTTTGAGACAGAGTGTCATTTAAAAGTGATAAATTCTTTGGAAGTGTTGTGGTTAAATCTTGTTTTAAAAGCTTAAGTGTGTGATTTTTACAGGAACCAGGCCCTATAAGTGTGGAGACTGCAACATGGCATTTGTCACCAGCGGGGAGCTCATCCGTCACAGACGTTATAAACACACTCATGAGAAGCCCTTCAAATGTTCCATGTGCAAGTACGCCAGTGTGGAAGTAAGTCCCCTCTCACACTTGAATCTTGTGGCGTCTTAATGGAGGTGGCTGGGAAAGTTATGCTAAGTGTAACTCACAGCAGAATCTGTTACAAGAAGACATATTCATGTAAAATGTATGCAGAAAGTAACATGCATTCTGTTTTCTAAGGTTAAGATGGAAAATTTGATTTCTTTTTCTCTTAGATTACTGATTAGTAAAAATAATATACAAAGGCCGAGAAATAATTCTCAAGTTTGTTAAAAATTTCTGTGTTTTACAAAGTACTTGGTGCTACAAAATCAAAATGTATTTGCTCTAACAGAGCACAGATCTGGTCGGAATTTTTGGTGACATTTTTGAGTTTACATCAGTGCTGCTTGGTCACATATGAAGCAACTCGCTTGAAGATTTAAGCATAGGCCATCTCTGCCCTTAATTACAGAGAGACCACCTTCTCAGACTTCAGCCATGCATCGTGGTCATTTTGACTGGGTTGTTTTGTTTATATCTTGCAGCAGGTCTGGCAGTGCTGGGCACGAGACAGGCAGAACACTGTCTTTACTTTTTAATGTCAGTTTTCCACCAGCTAATTCTTAAGGACCCGCGGTGTTTAAGCAGCTTCCTGGGGCCCAGTTTTGAGCCCAGTCGGGTAAACAACACACTCAAACAGAACTAAGTTAAAGGGAACAGCCAAAAGTTAAATACAGTAATGGTGCAACCACGTTCATAAATTAGGACATTTCACAGACAGGCTCAGGAGCTGATTCCAGAATTTTTTTCTGCTTTTACTATTTTTAAAAAATGATTTCTCATCTGAGTGAAAGGTCATGATTGTCGTGTGAGAACACAAAATGAAGTCTCCCAAGAACAAAGCCACATGAGTCCTAGCCCTGGGAGGGATTTGTGGGTATCCCGCCAGTTCTCAGCATACACGTCATGGGACTACCAGTCCCCTTCCTCAGGTTAGCCATTAGCACACAGCCTGTAGAGACGGCCTCTACACCTGGTCTCTGCTGCTGCCACAGCCCCCTTTTTTTAGCTTCTAAATCCTGCTGGGCTGGTTTGCTCCCCCATCCCATCCCTTCACATGTGTGCCATCAGGAATGTGTCAGAGCTGTGGGACAGATACACCTGTTTTTGAAAGCTTTTGAACTCCCCTTATCCACCCGTCCCACCTCTAGAAGCCAGCCAGGGTCAGGTTCATCCACAGCCACCTTTGATCATTCATACCATGTATCCTTCTCAGACCTTTCATGCTATATATATATGTAGCATGAGGGGGGACCCCCCCAAAAGGAATTATTTTTTGGATTGTGGGCCTCTTATCGTACAGGCTGCCCCTGCTAGGTAAGTATTCTAGGAGCCCGTCAACCTCATTGTACCAGCTAGCATTATAAGAGTCTGCATTTGGCTTCAGCGAATTTTTTTTGGCGATTCTTTCAGTGCATTAGCCCATTTCATGATGAGTGATCTACAAGTGAACCTGCCCACACTGCACTGACTGTAAAGCAATTTTTGACCAAAAATGTTATGACCCTCTGTGCCCCATCCTCCCTATTCACCTGATCTCACCCCAAGCAACTTTTTTTTTGTTTCCCTGGATGAAGAAAAGTCCTCAAAGGGAAACGTCTTTGCCGATGTGGAAGAGGTGAAACAAAAAAACAGCAGAAGCACTAAAAGGCATCAAAATTAATGAGTTCAAAAACTGTGTTGAACAATGGAAAAAACATCTCAGTAGGTGTTTGCATCAAATAGAGAGTACTTTGACGGTGACTTTGAGGTTTAACCATGTAAGAATCAATACACAATTTTTAATAAATAAATTCTGGTTTTGGGGGTCCCCCCTCATATATATGTAATTTTTTTGTAGTTGGGATCTTACTCTGTCAACCAGGCCAGAGTGTTGGAGTACAGAGGCATAATCATGGTTCACTGCAACCTCGACCTCCTGGGCTCAGGCAGTCCTTCCTCCTCAGCCTCCCGAATAACTTGGACTACAGGTGCACACCACCACAACCAGCTAACTTTTTGAAGTTTTGGAGAGATGAAGTCTCACTATGTCACCCAAGCTGGTCTTAAACTCTTGGGCTCAAGCAAACTTTCCACTTCAGCCTCCCAAAATGCTGGAATTACAAGCCTGAGCCACCGCTCCAGGTCTCATGCTACAATTTTAAAGTTCTCTTTGTTTTGCTTTCTAATACACTTGAAGACATCCCTTTTTCTTCTAAAGAGTTAAGCTAAGTTTTTGGTTTTTATCTTATTTGTCATTCTAACCTATTTTTTTGCTCTAAATGTTCTTCAGACTTTCATGTACTTGTCAGTTACAGGGAAGCAGATTCAGTGTAACCTCACTTGGGGTCACCCACAGGACTGACGTGGGCTTTCTAACACCTGTAGTCTGAGTGTGGCTGACTGCCCCGTTTCCTGCCGAAATCAGATGGGCCCATGATAAGCAAATACAGACTAGGAATAGTTCTAGAAGGCAGTCAGTCGGCAGACAGCCAGTGATCTGTGGGAGGTATGATGTTGTGTGCTAATTAACTAATTGCTAGATGCAGCATTCATCACATTAGCATCAGATTTCTTCTACTTAAAATTTCTTATGAAGAACCATCACGTCATCCCTGCACGTCCTAACTGAGGGTCTTTCTCCACTCATGTGCGGTGACTCCGGACAGTCGGGGCAGGGTCCTGTGACTGTGAAGTGCCACATATCGATGCTCTGTTGTTAAAAAGTGACGGTTTCAAGACGTCCACTTCACGCAACATATGTTTTTTTCTGGCTTTGAGTTTCGACGGTGGGGTCTAATTTTTTTTACAGCTGTTGAGTGAAGGTTGCCTCAGAAGTAAGAGTAGGCTCCCAGGTGGCGCTGGGCAGTGAGGTTATGATCAGCTCACACACACCCGCAACAAGTATGAAGAGCCATGGCTTTGTCGTGTCTTTCCAATGAGCGGGACATGCCCTGGTGCTCCCATGGGAAGCCCTGATTAGTTCGGATCTCCCTGACAGTGCCTGTCAGCGGGCGACCCGGCACCTCATGCATTGCAATGACTGTTCTCATTTGTGCCCTAGGCCAGTAAGCTGAAGCGCCATGTCCGCTCCCACACAGGCGAGCGCCCCTTCCAGTGCTGCCTATGCAGCTATGCCAGCAAGGACACCTACAAGCTGAAGCGCCACATGCGGACCCACTCAGGTGAAGCCTGTCTGCACAGGGCCTAGTGAACAGAGGTTTTTGAGACAAGGTCTTATTCTGCTGTCCAGGCTGGAGTGTAGTGGTGTAATCGTAGTTCATTACAACCTCAACCTCCTGAGGTCAAGGGATCCTCCCACCTCAGCCTCCTGAGTAGCTGGGACTGCAGGCATGTGCCACTATGCCCAGCTAAGTTTTGGTAGAGATAGGGTCTTGCTGTGTTGTCCAGGTTGGTCTCAAACTTCTGGTGTCAAGCAATCTTTCCACCTCAGCCTCCCAGAGTTGCTGAGATGACAGACATGAGCCACCGTATCCAGCCTGTGAGCCTCAGATTTTGATCTGTACCTTTGCATTTAGTTAGCATTAAGGGAGGCCACATGAATACTGTGCTGCAGCCCCACTGTGCATCTCTGGGCCATGGTGGACATGGCTGGGCATCATTGATGTCAGAATCTTTGAACTGGAACTGGGGATTTAACTATGAGGAAGGGGTTGAGAAGGGGTCCTTGGGAGTAGAAGAAAAGCTTCTGTGTCCAGGGCTCAAGGGGGACGTCTTGTCATCCGCATCGCAGGTGAAAAGCCGTACGAGTGCCACGTCTGCCACGCCCGATTCACCCAGAGCGGGACCATGAAGATACACATTCTGCAGAAGCACAGTGAGAATGTCCCCAAGTACCAGTGTCCCCATTGCGCCGCCATCATTGCAAGGAAGAGTGACCTGCGTGAGTGGTTCAGTGATCCCCCTTGACTGCAGGGTTTACTGGCTCTTTGGAGCACGGCTTGGAAACCTGTGGAGCCTTGGCCTTGATGCCACAAGGTGGCTGCTTTCGGAACCTTCTCCCTGGGACACGTTTTTTCTAGCGGTCCTGTGGCACCATCTGGTGGCCAGAACTCATAAGTGCAGTTTTCTAGCATGTTTTCAGAGTCCTGGCCTGGGTCTGTTCTCAGACACGTGATAAGGTCTTTCAAGGGTGTCATTGTAGTCCACATTGGGCCTGTTTTTAGAGATGAGGACACTGGGGCTCAGGGATGTAGTGTGAGTCACGTGACCAGGGGCACCAGGAGGCGACTGGGTTGCAAGGTCCTCACTTTTTAGTTTTCTGCCCTGTGATACTCAGCAAGCTTTACTAACCCTTGCTGTGAGCCTAGAAAGTTCTGGGAGCCGAGGGCACGAAAGGAAGACCCAAGACGTAATCCCCTCATAAGGAGCTCACTCCAGCAAGGGAAACGGGCCTGAGGTGGGCAGTCCACGTCCTAACACAGCAGAAGTGGGACTTGGGAGTCGGATTTGACACCACCCGCAGGGAAAGCACCTGGGCATTAGCAGCAGGTCAGGGTGGGGTGGATGTGAGTGAATGATCCTCCCTTTTTTGTCCCAGGATTCCTGGGCCTCCCTTTGTACAAAGTCTTACTTCTCTTTCCAAAATATATGACCTTGTGACACTTAAAATATGTTAGCAGAAGCACACATTTACCAGTTAAAGATATTTGGAGACAAGGCGAACTGTTTTGAAAACATTTCTGAAAGGGCAAAGGTGTTTTACAAAGTCTTAACTTTTCCTTTTCATCTGGAACATTCTGTTCTGGTTGCCATAGATACTGAAAACAGCAGAGCCTAGCGGGACTTGGTGGGGCACGGGGATCACGAGCCAGTTGCCAAGAAAGGATATGAGATGTTTTTGACACCTTGGCAAAGTCGTGTCATTTCTGTCTTGTGCCAGCAGCTGACCCACTCTGTACATCCCCTGGAAGAGCCCTGTAAGCACATGCCATCTTCCCATTGCTGTGTGGGAAATCAGGCTCTTGGACCATCTAACCCGTATGTGTAAGATATGCCTCCGTCACAAGCTGCCAGTTTATTTCTTTGGCCTCTTACACAAAGTCTTACAAAACTAATACACTTTAGCCTTAGACGAACACAATTATCCAAGAGCATCTCCAAGTAGACTCTACCACATATATCAGGTCAGTTTCGACATAGGAAATGATAGGGCATCAACCACTAACAGAACATGTAGGTTCTCTCTCTCTCTCTCTCTCTCTCTCTCTCTCTCTCTCTCTCTCTCTCTCTTTCTTTCTCAAGTCGGGATCTCACTCTGTCACCCAGGCTACAGGACAGTGGCACAATCATGGCTTCCGCAGCCTCAACCTGCTAGGCTCAGGTGATCCTTCTGCCTCAGCCTCCTGAGAAGATGGGACTACAGGTGCACGCCACCATACCTGGCTATTTTTTTGACTTATTGAAGAGATGAGGCCTCCCTCCCCATGTTGCCCAGGCTGGTCTCGATCTCCTGAGCTCAGGCAGCCCTCCTGCCTCAGCCTCCCAAAATGCTGGGATTATAGGCGTGAGCCACCATGCCCTGCCTTGTACATGTGAATTTTTAAAAGGTAAAATTCAGAGATTATATATTTTTATGTAAAACTGCTATTGGGTAAAAGGGGGTTGCTGTCTGATACACAAGAATCCAATACCATGACACCAGGTTTTGAGGGAAAAAAAATCTTAAAAAATATAAAATATATATATAATAAAATATATATATAATATTTTAAAAATCTTTTTAAAAATATATAATTTTTTCATAGAATCACCAGGTCCAAGAGAAAAAAAAACACTTTTTATTCTAGTTGACACACAGGAGACAGGAGTCCGCCCCTGTCTGTCTCCCTGTGCTGACTTTATGGCAGTCATTTTATCAGAAAAGGGTTGGGGGTGGATTCAGGGATTAATAGGTGAATGGTGGATGGAAAGGGTGTCTGGAAAGCGCTTGGGCAGGCACAGTTATCTTTTAGTGCCTCCTCATGGGCCCTGTGCAGATGGCAGGGAGGAACTCGGCACGACTCATGAGGTGGAAATTCAGGCTATGACATCAGCAAGCTCATTCTGCACAAACTCTGGGTGGCCACGTTGACTACACCAATTTCAGCCAGTTTTGTTACCTTACAAGAGGATAGGATGTCAGTGCTTCAGCTTATTTGTGTCCTGTGAACTCAAGAATGTCTATTGGCCCCTGATTTTGGGGGGGCACTCAGGTTCAACTTTTCAGCAAAGGTTTCTTTTATAAGTTGTTTCTTTTCTTGTCACCTGTTCTGTAAACCGAGGCATCTAGTCATTGGTATCTAGCTCTTGGGACATGGTTTCAAAACAATCTTAACATTATCCTAAATCCACCTGCCCCATCATAAGTTCCCAAAGTGCTTTGTTAAATGGACGTTTTAGGTCAAATCTGACCTACTTTATAGAACATGCAACTCCATGTTGAAAAGGTATTAAAATGCATTTTCTTGTTCTCTTAACTTGGAGCAGTGACTCTCAGCCGGGAGCTAATGCTCCCATGGGGACATTTGGCCATGTCTGGAGGTAGTTTGCTTTTCACCACTGGGGAGGAGTAGGAGACACTGTCTTCTAGTGGATAGAAACCAGAGATTCTGCTGAACACCCCACAGCAGGGGTCCCCAACCCCAGGGTGAGTCCTGTTAGGAACAGGAGCGCACGGCAGGAAGTGAGCGTCTGGCCAAGTGAGTGAAGCTTCATCTGTATTTCCAGCTGCTCCCCATCACTCGCATCACCGCTGAGCTCCGCCTCTCGTCAGATCAATCATGGCATTGTATTCTTATAGGAGCGCAAACCCTACTGCGAACCACACATGCGAGGGATCCAGGTTGCGGCTCCTCATGAGAATCGAATACCTGATGATCGAGGGGGAGCTGAGGAGGTGATGCTAGCGCCGGGGAGCGGCTGCAAATACAGACCAACATCAGCAGTGAGGTCTAACTGCACATCACCACTGCCTACCCTCCGTCTGTGGGAAAATTTTCTTCCCCAAACCGGTCCCTGATGCCCAAAAGGTTGCGGACCACTTCCCACAGCACACAGGACGGCACACCCCCTTCTCCAAGGAAGTACTAGAGGTTCCAAATGGGAAGCATGCCAGGGCTGAGAAACTCCAACACGAGGCCAGGGGAATGGGCGGACAGGAAGTCACACTCCTGAGGGCACCGTGTTCCTGGCTGTTGCAGGCGTCCATCTGCGCAACCTGCACTCCTACAAAGCTGCGGAGATGAAGTGCCGCTACTGCCCAGCCACCTTTCACGAGCGCTACACCCTCATCCAGCACCAGAAGACGCACAAGAACGAGAAGCGGTTCAGGTGCCAGCACTGCAGCTATGCCTGCAAGCAGGTATGGTGCTGGAGCAGAGGGGAGGAGGGGGAGGGTGGGGGCTTTCCCTGCGGTTCAGAGAACATGGGGAAAAGCTACACTTTTTTGTAATAAACCTATTCAGGATGACCAGAAGGCAGCCATGAGCAAGCAACAGTTTTGTTTTTTGTTTTTGTAACTGAGTTAGGTTCTCACTCTGATGTCCAAGCTGGAGTGCAGTGGCACAATCACGGCTCACCACAGCCTCAACCTGCTGGGCCCAGGTGATCCTTCTGCCTCAGTCTCCCAAGGAGCTGATACTACAGTAATGTGCCACCACGCCTGGTTAATTTTTTTGCTTTTTGTAGCGATGGGGTCTTGCTATTTTGCCCAGACTAGTCTTGAACCCTCGGGCTCAAACAATCCTCCCACCTCAGCCTCCCAAAGTTCTGGGGTTACAGGCATGAGCCGCCATACCCAGCCCACAGCAATGGTTCTTTAAAAATGTTTACAGGCCCCTGTTGGTCCTTGTGACCCACTAGGGGCGCACAACATCCAAACCACTGCCATAATAACGCCAAGACATCCCTTGCCCTTCTTCTGCATTGACATGCCTTCACAGTACTTAAGCAGCGGTGGTACTTTCACGCAAATCAAGGCAGCGACACCCAGCAGGGCTGGTCATCACTGTGTTCTCCTTCACGCACTGGCAGCAAAAACAAAGGGCATTTACAAATGTCCTTGGAGGAGCAGTAAAAGTAGTTAGCTTCACTGAATCTTGACCCTAAACACTTGCTTTGATATTCTGTGTGATGAGGTAGGACCTGGCATAAACCCCTCCACTGTCCTTCGAAGCCCGGAGGTTGCTGGAGAAAGTATGTCTGGCTGAGTTGCCAGCCCGACTAGCCATGTCCTCACGTAATGCCACTTTCACTCGGGAGAGCATGACAGGCGAGCTCTACTTACTTGTTACTAGTCAAGTCCTCAGACAGGAACGGCATGAGCCCAGTAGCTGAGAAGCCTGTCCCTCCTGGAGAAGCATGTGTCAGCAAGGGTACAGTTTCACCTTTCAGGAGAAATTAGAATTAGACTTTCAGAACATGTATATACCCCACAATGAGTTTTACAGTTTTCTAATACTTATGACTCTTCTGATAAGATGGGGTAATTTTTTTCGTTGTTGTTGTTGTTTTGAGTTGGAGTCTCACTCTGTCGCCCAGACTGGAGTGCAGTGGCACACTCCCAGCCACCGCAGCCTCGACCTGCTGGGCTCTGGCGATCCTTCCACCTCAACCTTCCAAGGAGCAGAACTACAGATACACGCTACCATGCCCGACTAATTTTTTGATTTATTGTGGAGATGAGGTCTTGCCAAGTTGCCCAGGCGAGTCTCGAACCCGCGGGCTCAGGCAATCCACTCACCTCAGCCTCCCAAGGCGCGGTATTACAGGCTGAGCCACCGAGCCCAGCTGGGGTGATTTTAAGAAAGCAATTTTTATGTTGCATAATGAATATGTCAACATTTTGAAGATCTCCATAACTTAGTAAACTGGTATTTTCCATATGACCCATCCGTGCTGTTACAGAATTCTGCCTGGGCAGAAGAGCCTTTCAAAGTAAGAGGTAGACCAGCAGATCATCACGTAACAGAGAACCCATAAAAGTTTATGATAGGATTCAGGTTGCACTTGTCAACCAGCCTTTGAAAATTGCCACTTGTTGAGTTTTGGTGTGATAGAAGGGTGTCCACATACTGAAAAAACTATGAAAATGTCGTTCTGTTTTTCAACTATATGTTTGTAAGAACAGATTTTTTTTTTCCATTTACTTGAACCTTCCCCCTGCAGATTGAGGGGAGAACTCCACTTGGAATATTTTCATAGTGTTGTCAGACTTAGCAGATTAAAATACAGGACACCTGGTGAAATTTGAATTTCAGATACACAGTGAGTAGTTTTGTATATAAGTATGTTCCAAAGATTGCAGCCTGTATCTTAACCAGGAACCTTACCTATTAAGACAGACATCAGGGTTTTTTTGTTTTGTTTGAAAAGTAGATAATATAACTATACAGAAATACACTAACATGTAGTTGGGTTGTTATTTATTTATTTTTTTTTTAATAATTAATCAGTATTTTTATTATAGTTTTGTGGGGTACAGTTAAGGGTTAGGTGTACAATTACGTTCAT